TCTCTCTCTCTCTCTCTCTCTCTCTCTCTCTCTCTCTCTCTCTCTCTCTCTCTCTCTCCTTCTTTCTCTTTCATGGCGGCACAAAGGAGGTGACAGAATCGTCCAAAATAATTATTCGCTCGAGACGGTTAATTTATTTGCGTGCACTGTGACAAAATTCTCGCATAACAAACAGAATGACCAACTATAATTCGCGATGAAACAATGTTAATCTGTTTGTGTAAACAGTCTACGTTCGATTTTAATGTCTTTTAAAACTCGTTCTTCTTACATCTCACAGTGATTTATTGGTCTCCTAAAATCTATGATTTCATTTCGAAAATCATTTTATTGAGCTTTTATAAAAATCTACTTTGTTTCGACAGAATTATACTAATGATATATCTAATCTAATCATTGCATGTTTTTGACTTTATTTAACGAAATAGATATTTAATAAGATAAAGACAATTGATAACTAAAAATAAAATGTCTCAAGATAAAATATTGTTTTTAAAGTTACGAGTATTGCAAATAGTATGGTAACAATATAAAAGGCTTTAGACTCGACACAAATATGCTAATAGTTTTAGGGATAGACCATAGAAGGCCAGGTCCATTCACCAAAAGAGAAGGTGACGTCAGACGGACAAGTTGGATGAGAGGTCGGTCGCATTCCTTTTGAATTCCAAAATCTCGTTCCTACAGGAGAAGCATTTCCTGCCACATCGCACCCTAAAACATTAGAGAAAGCGGCGAGGGCAAAGACAAGGAATGGGACTTCAAGGATATCGTGAAGATAGAAGAGAGAGCCGTCTATTTTTAGGAACGCAATTATTTAAAAATCCGCTGGCCTCGCCCCCGTCGTTGCCGAGTCACATCGAGCAAATTTCGCAGGAGAATTCTCTCCTCCTTCTCTCTTTCTCTCTCTCTCTCTTTCACCAAATCCTTGTCCTGTTTCCCACGCGAGGGTTGTTGTTACATAAATAGAAACCAAAACTCACTCGACGTTTCCTGATGAAATAAATATTTTTTTCGCTCATTTCAACAAAAAAATCTTAATGATAAAATATGTTATATAATTAAATATTTTATCATTAAGATTTTTTCTTAATCCTTAAGAATCCTGGTCATAAAATACATCAGCAAAGAAATATCTCATTCAACTGTCGAAAGTCGCAAATTATTTTTAATTATGTAGCTTTTAACAAAGGAGACGATTTCAGATATAACAATCTCCATGAACTTGCTGAACGTAAATCAGAGGTATCGAATGTTCATTATTCATGGATAGATTTTTCAAGTTTTTACAATTTTTTTAGACTCACGGCAACAACGCCATGCAACGTGACAAACAATCAGAGCACACGAGCGATTATCGGCGCAAATATTTATCCGACCGATAAGGAACAAATTGACATACGCGAACCTGGTTTATTATACTCGCAGTCGTCGGTCGACGTCCAATATACAACGCCGGTGCGCGTCGGGTAAATACAATTTATTTACAAAGTAAGGCCGCGGACGGGTGAGCTCGCTGCGCGATTTTGGCACGCGCGTCACTCCACAAAGGGAACGTAAATATAATTCCGCGAATTACGCGTGTCACCGTAAGCTGTTAAGTGCCGCGCGAATCTGTGAGATAGTGTCACCGCCGAGTTTGCAAAAATATATAGCCACGCGGAAGATTCGACCGTACCGGCGGCGCCACCGCGCCCGCTCGCTCGGCTCCCAAGGTGAACGGATTCGTGAATTACGAGCTTTGGCTTCGGAACAGTGTCACAAAAGAGAAAAACAAAGAAAGAGAAAACGACGTATCTTTTCTTCTCCGATCGGCACCGTCGGTACGTTAAGTGCCTACATACAGGTTTCGGTTGGATTTGTGAATAGAGTGAAGTGACCCTAAACGCTGTTACCCTCATTTTCGAGAGACTATAATAGCGAATTCGTTAGACACATTCGGTTTCCACACACAATGCGCCTTGGTGAACATTAACCTTTACAAGGCGGGAAAGCTACTATAGTGTGGCATTGAAACAGTGTCAAGGCAAAAACGAATTGTACACTGGAAAAAAAATCTTAATTTCAAAAAGATATCTCTTTGCTCGTATTAAAAAAAATTATTTCTTTAGATCAATGAAAATTTCTTTGAAAATTTATTTATTACAATATCTTATTTCGTTGAAAGTACAATATCTTATTTTCAAAAAAATTTTCATTGATCGAAAGAAATAATTTTTTTTTAATACGAGCAAAGAGATATATCTTTGAAATTAAGATTTTTTTTCAGTGTAAAAAATCTTGTATACTCAGGTAAAAGCTGTAAGATTTTAAAAATAGATTCTCGCTCTCTAAATAGTAATCTTCACAAGACGGCGAAACTACTTTAGTTAAGCTGAAACAGTATATTTTGAATAGAGAAAAAAAAAAATAATGAAATAATAAATTATAATAAATCTTACTCAGAAAAAGCTGTAAGATCTTAAAAATAGACCTCGGTTCTCTCTAAAGATTAATCTTCACAAGATGAGAAAGCCACTATAGTGGCGCTGACGGCCATATATATATATATATATATTTCGAGATAAAGAATACAACGAAATAATGAATTATAACAAATCTTATTCAAGAAAAAGTTGTAAGATAAAAAATAAATCCCGCTTCTCTCTAAAAATTAAAGCCATCGCACAAATTGACATAAAAATGTGTGTTTAACATAAATACATATAAAAATTAACGGATTAAACCGCGAAATCCTCAAATACACTTTATTATGCTGTCAGGTACATATGTATTTGATAAATATTTGCATTTCATTTTTACACTCGGATTAAATCAATGCAACGATTTTAATACGCACTAGTGCGTATTAGTGCGTTCAACCGAACTCGCTGTAAGACTCGGTCTTAAACTTTCACATAACTTTTCCTTTTCACGCAGGTGTCGTCCAAAATTTCAAGTTTGCGCGATACCACGAATTTATCTCTTCACGCGACGTCGCAACGCGGATCGTCGCCGAGCTGAATGTCGTGACATTGAGAGGCTGGATCGACGTCACGCATTATAATGCGTCGCGGCGCACTCGCGCGATCCGCCTTCGCCGAGATACCGAGCGGGCAAAAGCTGCATCGAATTAGGATCTTTGCCGGCGGATCTTCAAAAGCGGCATCTCGTCGAGCTCCTCCGATCCGGAAATCGGTGTGTGCGGCTTGCTGCTCGGTGCAAACGCTGCCGGCGCGATCGGTACGGCGAAGAGGCACCGGAATGCGAGAGAGCCACTCCCGCTGATCGCCGGCGACTCGTGGCGGTCAGACGAGCGGAGACGAGAGAGAGAGAGGTTTCATCATACCAAGTACGCCGGCTCCTAACCGCAATAGCCGATAACAGATTTCCCGACGAATCTACGATCGGCTCTTCGTAAGATCGACGATAAATCACGATTGCTCGCGATAAATAATAATCTTCGACATTCCATATTTCAACGCGAGTCAAGTTTTATCACGAAAAGAGGGAGCTTGCTTGAAAGTAGAATATCAGGGTATTACTACGGTGATCTTACATCCTTTACTACAAAGTTCTTTATTTCAAGTAGCTGTCCTTTAAATTTATTAATTTTTTTTCTCGAAATTCAATTTTGTCCTTTATTTTAATAATATTACGGGAAATTCCTTTCTAATTAACATTCCAATGTCTGATGTACTAATGAGCGAATTTTTACTGAAACAATCGACAAATATAGTTTTGTGCAAGGGCAATATTAGCCCAAACAGAAAAACAAAGTCACAATAACATAAAAATGAATTGCGATTGATTGAAAAGTGACTTTTAATAATCAAATTTACAGTTATTTTGATGTCATTTTGATGTTATGATGACTTGTGTTTTTCTTGTTGGAGTT